TAACATTCTGTGGCTAGAACTCCTGCCTCTGGGATATTGTACATAATCAAAACTGTTTCCTCCAGACAAAGGCGGCCTGCGCACACCCGTGCTGGTCTTGGGGCTGAGAGCTCTCCCGCCCCTTCAAGGCCCCGGGCTCACTTGCCCTGGGTGGCAGGTTCTCCCTTTTCTGTGATCAGAGTTTAAAAAGCTTCGAAAAAATCCCCAAGAATTGTCCGTCTTCAGGTCTCTACTGTTCTAGTTCAACTATTTTATTGTCTTTTGTGGCTCAAAATGGCAATATTATTCTAACTGTGGCTCTGGCTGGAAGAACTAATGAAATGTAGAAGGGACACCACCCCAGACCTCCCTCTACTTCCTGCGCCACCTCTGAGGACCTGCCTTGGGCTCAGCCCGTCTCTTCGGGGCTCGGGATTCCCCGGGAGGCGACACTGCTGCGCGTGGTGTTTCTCAGCTGATAAAGCCAGGTCCTCGCATCTGTTCCTTCCTCTCTTACCCCTCCCCTCACCCCGCAGTCCAGTCTCCACTGCCATCTGCGCTGTCCAGAAATGCTCTTCCTGCGGCTGCAGGCCACTGCCTCCGACCCCGTCTCCCCACCCCTCAGCCACAGCCCGTCCTGAAGCTGTGGCCTGCCCACCTGCCTGTGAACCCTCGGTGACTCCCCTTGGCCCACAAGACCACGTCCAGAGCCCTGTGCGTGACGTCCAGGTCCACTGTGACCTGGACCCGCTGCCTCCCAGCCCTCCTGACGCGTGCCGGGGCTCCGTCACCTGGGTGCTGTTCGTGTGCAGGCGAGGTTGGCTGAGCATCAAGTGCCACTTCCCTGCCTCAGAGGCGCTGCCGTGACTTGGAAAGAGACGATAGAGATGGACACATTGGAGAGATGCCGAGGACCAGAAAAAGAACTCTCCGGAGCAGCCCAGGTTGAGGATCTAGGAGTGTCAGCTCTGGAGGCGGGAGAAGGAGCACGGAGCTGGGATCATTCTCACAAGCCCCTGGACGCCGAGTGTGTGGCTGTCTCCCTGTAGGCCCCCTTTTTCCCGTCTGTGAACGCGGACAGCACAGGATCGTTGGGAACTCACAGCTGTGGCCTGTGAAGAGTGGACGGCAGCGTGAGCATGCACACGGCTGCAGTTCACCTTAGCGGTCTCAGAGCAGCAGTTCAGGAAGGTGGGGGCAGAGACCGTCTCCCTCAGAATGCTGACGGCACCCCCACAACGACGCCATGCAGGTGTGTCCTCCAGGAAGCTTCTAAGTCCCCGCCGGAAACACGTCCAGGAGGGACGAGACAGCCGCCTTCTGGAACCCACGTCCTTACCGCTCTGTCCACCTTGGATTACGTGCACTCCTCCTAGAAGGGTCAGCTGCCGTCACTGCTTTACCCAGGAGAGCGCACTGGGTTTCACTGCTGGGGGCTCCTCGGGCCCACCAAGAAATGAGTCCCATCTCTAACTGAAACGGGAGCGCAGCCCTTGTTCTCTGTGACTGAGCTGAGCTGCTGAACCTTCCGTCACAGAGAGAACCTGCCCTTCTCCCAAAGCCGACGAAGGGAAAAGCCAGTGATTTCTCGTGTGTGATACATGTCCACCCTCTCACCTGGTGTTTTATAAATGTATTGTCGTAACTGTCTTTTAAGGATCCATGCCTGGGAGGGTGCCTTCCTCAGTTTCATAAAATGCCAAGTGGTACCACTGTGATATATAAATAATGATAATTAGAAGACAGCTTCAAATTATTTGACATCCAGATTGAAGGGAAAAGTGGCACTTTTTTTATATAGTTGTAATACCCTAGAATTTAGATCAGAAATGGCATTTAAAAAAAAAAATTGCTTCCTGTCAGCCATGGATGGCTCAGACTTTGAGTGTGAGGTCAGAGACCATGAAATAGAGCCAGATCTGGGCGCAGGCCCAGAGACCTTAATCCTTCACTGTGATCATTTGAACATCGCAGAACTAAGCCAGGAGTGAAGTTATTTTTACCTGAAACTCCATAAAGTGTTTAATAGTCATTAAATTGGCATCACTTCCAACCTCCAGCTCTTCCTGAAAATGTCAGGAACGAAGGTTCCCAGAACGTGGCGCGGCCTGCCTCGGCCTCGGCCCCGGCCCCAGCACTGCCTCCGACGTGTGCGGGGAAGAGCGTCCTGCGCTGTGGCTCCGGGGATAAGGCCTTTTGTTTACTGAGTGGGAGGAACTTGGGGCCAAGAATTAGAAAGGCAGTACCCGACTTCCCGCCTGGCCACATCGTAGCTATGTGGCCCTGGGCAACTATTTAATCCCCGAATGTGTTTCCTCCTTTGCAAAATTTGAGTTATCACCGCAGAGAACACCCTGAGCATACTAGTGTTATACTCATTCACGTCCACATGCCAGGTGCCTCTTAAGGTTCTCCTCGGGTTCACCTGTCGAAGGTAAGATGTGGGGAGACACCGGTGCTGGCGTTTAGGAAGGTGGCCCAGCAGCCTGTGCTGAGTGGGAGGAAGTGGGGGGCAGGGGAGAGATGCAGGCGCCTCTCCAGTCGTCTGTGGCTGCAGCTGCCTTCCTCCTCTGCCCTCATAAGTCCCTGGGTTTTATCAATTCTTCAGTCTCTTTCACATTCGTTTCTTTCTGTTTCCACTGACCCCACTCACCCACACCTCCTGTGTGGCTCAGTTTTTGTTGTGATGATACTTTTAACCCTTGTATCCCACACCCAGCTCGAGTTTTCTGGCTCCAGTGATTCTGATGCTGCTGCAGTCGGAACCAGTCTGCCTTTCTAGTGGAACTCTGTTCAAACCCTTCAGCAACTCCTCCCTGGACGGAGTCAAGGCCCCCTCTGTGACTGGGGTCTTAGACATTTGGGTTGTAAGTGATAGAGAGCCAACTCAGACAGTCTGAGAAAAAGGGCAGACAGAGGGCAGGCCCCTTGCTTCGGGCACAGCTGAGTTCAGGGGTTTGGGCCGTGTTAGGATAGCTGTCGGTTTGACGGGCACGAGGGCGCCCAGCACCTCGAGGCTCAACCTTACTAAATGAGCCCGGCAGCAGAAAGAGTGTCTCTCCCCGACCCCTCTGATGTGGGCCACACGCCCATCCCGAGTCACCATGGCCAGGGGGTGGGCCCGGTCACAACCACAGATGTCCACGCTGCTTCCCTCTGCAGCGGTCCCAGCCCGCCTCCGGATCAACCCACAGCCCCTGCGCCTGCTCTCCCTCGGTTAAGCTGCCCCCTCGCTCTTCTTCCTGCCACCTCTGTTTATCAGAATTATACCAGTGTTTCAAGCTAAACTATTTTCTACAAAGTCTTTCCTTACCCTGCAGCTGACAAAGGCCATTTCTTCTTTTTCTGTGTAGAACTTGGGCCAGGCATCTGTCACGTGCTGCCCTTCACTGTGTCTTCAGCCACCACCTTCATCAGTGCTCTGATGACCCCGAGCCGTTCTGGGGGTCTCGGCATGCAGGGCTCTTCCACGTACGTCGTTCATTTGCTGTCATGCAAGGAAGGCACTGTAATCCCGTTGTACAGCTCATCTCTAAGACTTGTGTTCAGTGCAAAGTGAGAAGCATTAATATAATATCCGGGCATTTTATGTCAATTTTACAGATGAGGGAATTGAGGCCTAATTAGTGGCCAAGTGTCCCATCGACGCCTTTTTAAGTTCTTGGAACATGTAAGCTCTTTGCCACCTCTGGCCTTTGCAGATGCTGCTCCTCTGCCTGGGACATTTTTTTCCATGCTCACCTGAGCAACCCTAACCAGCCTTCAGAGTTTAGTTTAAATGTCAGTTTTTTAGGGAGGCTTTCACTGACTGTCCCCTCTCCCCAAACCTAAAACAGGCCTACTGTTCTCTTCTCATCCTCCTGTTTTTCTTCATAGTGCTTATCACAAATTGTAGTTATTTTACTTGTTAAGATGTAATTGTTTAATAAGGCTGTACACCCCGTGAGGACAGGAACGGTGGCATTGGTGGTAACTCCTGCATAGTCAGTGGCTGGCACTCACGCCTGACACAGGAGCGTCTCAGGAAATACTGTGGGGAATGAATGAATGAGTGAACGCATGCAAACCTGAGCCATTCGCAGAGCTCAGGAAATACCAGAACAAAGGCGAGCTAGAACTCAGGTGGCCTGTGGTCAGCATGACCTCAGCTCTCAATGTGTCCTATCCTGTACCCATAACTAGTCCCCTACTAAACTGTGATCACCAAGGCACAGAACTGCAGTCCTCGTTCTCTGGGTTCCGAGGGCATGAGCCCTGTTTGGTTTGTGGGTGTTTAGGATACGAAGGTGGATACGTTTGGATGAGTAGATAGAAGGAATGAGAGACAGGCGGACCTGCAGACCAGGCTAATCATTGAAGGGGGCCAGGAGAGCGGATCCGTGTGTGGAGGTGCTGGGGGAACAAAGCGAACACGTCAAGCTCCCAAATCCTGCGCAGGCCCCGTGTTAGAGGAAGTGGTGGTTAGTGCATCAGCCTCTGCACAGAACCTGAGTTTGCGCCCTGATTAAGATCCAATATTAATACCCTGTGCTGGAGTTCTTGGAATAAACCTTCCATTTTGGGGGGTCTTGAAGAGTTCACCTTTCTATTCCTGTCACATTGTATTGGAACGCTTTCCTCGTACGCGAAAGCAACTTTTATCTCTTCTTACACCAGAGTGAGCCGCCTGTTACTATAGCAATGCTGAAAGTATTGGGAGATATTTTTATACTGTCTTCTAAACACTCCAAGCTGCACATAGCGGTTCGTTGAAATACCCAAAATTGTTTTTCTCTTGTATCTTTATATCCTATATTAAATTTTCACAAATTCTGCTATAATTTAATTTCTGAAATTTGACCTCTTATTTTTAGGAAAGAATAATTTGGGGGTGATTGTAAGTATATTTGATCTATCAAACATTGTAAATAGTTCTGAGATAACTTGAATTTTGTTGTGAGCGCCCTAAAGACATAGTGTCTTCCTGGGATCTGTCTTTTTAGAGAGTGGGGTGCATCATAAGTTCCTCTGTGTGTCTGCAGGGCCTGGACAGCTTCAGAGTGAAACAGAAATTCTTCTCGGGCAGCCAGGAGCCAACGGCGTCCTTCCCTGTGCCGTACGACCTGCCCCCAGAGCGGTATGGAAGTAAAGGTGAGACACATGCAGGGAAGCCTGGGCGGGGACCAAGGCAGAAACGGTGCTCAGGAGAGGCCCGGCCGGGTCTCCGAAGGCCTGGCTCGTGGGCACTTGGGGAGCACGGGTCTCTGGAGGCTTTGCTGCCCTGTCTGGGGCCGCTGGAGCTGCGGTTCTCAAACTGGTTGGTCTTGGAACCCCTCTGCGCTGTCGTCATTGAGGGCCACAGAGCTTTTATTTATGGGTTCTATCTGGGTATTTACTGTCTCAGAAAATAAGACCAAGAAATCTGAAAATCCATTTATTGTTTTAAAATAACAAACCCATTATAACATCTATATTTGTATGACTATTTCCCAAAAAGGTTGTTGAGGGAGGTGGCGTTGTTGGCACATTCTGCAGTTCTTTCTTCCCCGGGTGAATGGAAGGCAGCTGGGTTCTCACGGCAGGAGACCACGGCAGGTGGTAGCACACATGTCTCAGAGCCTCTGGACACTCGTGCAGAAGTGAGAGGGACAAATAATGGCTTAACATGATGATGAAAACAATTTTGACTGTATACCCCACCACCACCACCTGCTTCTCAAAACGGAGGGCCCCGATCACACGTTGTAACTGCTGCACTGGTCTGTGACTTCCTCACAGTGAAAAGTCGGTGGATGGTTGGCTCAGGTTCAGGGGTTTCTGGGGGAAGGCTGGCCGGCTGGCTGGCATGGGCAGCCCCTCCCCTGACGCAGCCCCAAAGGCTGCAGTTACGCTTTTCTCAGCGGGGAACGTCCATCTTTGAGGTGAGTTCATGCAGGAGATGTACAGTCGGGTGTGGGGGAGGAGCAAACTTGCCTCTACCCTGAATGTTCTTCTGGTAACAAATAGACATGAGAGGTGAGCAAGAGAAAGTAACCAAATGTAATACATACATGTGTGTGGGAACCCTACATCCATGAGAGAGTCAGACCCACATACAGGAGGTTCAGATGCAGAAAGGGAACCTGGGTACATAAGACCCTGAGCTAGGGATGAGCTAATGCACCTGGGAGCTCAGGGTGATAAGAGGAGCAGATATTTGGTAAATAAAAGTTTGCCTTGCCTTATAGGTCAGTCAAAAGAGGTTATCTAAGGCCCTTAGTAGTTAAGGGAAATTTCTCTTGCAATTTCCGAGGTTAAAGTTGCCTTTAGCTCAAAACAGCCTGCATACCACAAAGACACCTTGGGGTGACTCATTCTGAACCCCCACACAGGCCACGCTTGCTAATTTAAAATGGCGAAAGCACCTGTCACCACAACCAGCATATTTTCTCTGGAAGCTAGAGGCCGGCACAGGTAGTTAAATTACAACCTCTAGTTTGTGAGCAAATGCTGAATCTGAGCAGGGAAATTTTGGGTTTTGATCAGAAAGTTTTAATGACATCACCCCATTAATATTCCAAAATCTCTGACTCCCCAGCAGTCAGCCTTGCCCAGTGGGTCCCTTTCTTCCCAGGGCAGTGAAGGAAAGGCTCTAGCTACTCCCCACCCATGTTGGCTTCAGTGGTGATGGGCCCACTTCTTAGATTGTGTTGACACAGCCAACACGCAGTCCTTCCATGACCGGTCGTGTTGACACTGAGATTCAGAAGGCGTTTCCCCCGCCTCTCCAAGCTCTGTCCATTCTTTTGAGTCCTATAAATCTGTTGTTTATTCTTGCATATTCATTTTTCCTTAGATTGTATAGGTTTTATCAGAATTTCAAGGAATCTGTGACCACCTTTGCCACCCCACCCCATCCACACACACACACACACACACAAATGGACAACATTGCTTTAGAACCAGACTGTGTTATTTGTGATGTTACAACTTATGAAGTGACCTTGGGCAGGTACTTGCATTCTCTAGACCTTAGTGTCTCTGTCTGTAAAACGAGAAAATAAGAAAGCCTCCTCCAGGGGGTTGTTGAGAAGAGTGACCGAGATGTGGTCTGTAATGCACTTAGAACCGTGTTTTAGTTCAGAGTTAGTCTGCACAGGGTGGCCATGCTCCTGCTGCCTGACATGCCCGGTTCAGCCCCTGGTGTGTAGCAGTGGTTGGTGCTCATTCTCTCCCTTTCTCTCCTGAGCGGATGACAAACACAGCCTAGGCTGGTGCGGGGCAGTCTTCCAACCTGCCCAGCATCCCAGGACAGGGCTGATAATCCTAAATCCTCAGCTTTGTGCTGCACCTTTGTCCTTTCTCCTTTTCTGTTCCACTTGTTTGTGTGTGTGTGTTTGAACCCGAGTTCTCCTGAATAAACATGTTAGAGGTGGGGTTTGACTGTAATCGCCTTAGGCCAGGGTCTGGCCCTGGGCCTGTACTTCCCATGCAGCCCTCAGCTGGACTTCTGCTCCCTCCCTTTAACCACAGTTCCAAAGGACCTCGAGAGCGAGAATAGAAGAGGTAGAAGAGCCTTAGAAATATCCCTAGGGCCCTCAGTCCCAGTAGAAAAGCGTTCCCAAGGATTGAACGTGTAGGCTGGGCGGCGTCTCAGAGTAACATGACTGTTATCTGGCCAGCGAGGAGAATGCTTTCCTTCTCTTCTTTATGAATTTTCTTCCAAAGATAAATACAAGAGCCTGGAGCATTTTGTGTTTTTAGTTTTACCTTCCACACTGCTTTATTGGCAGGTAGAATAATGCCAGGGGTTCACATGTGGCCAACATTCAAGGGAGCCATGTGGCCTGCAGAACAGCATTTTGCCAGGACTTGGAAAAGTGAGTGGCTGAGAAAATCTCAAATGCGATTCGTTTGAAAAAGTGATTTTCAAGCCACTAACACACAACAAGATCTTGTTAAAATCAAAAGACTATACCAAAAAAATCTTAGCAAAGATATACACAGCTGTGAACAAATTAGTTTATTGCAAGAGGCCACCAGACAATCCGGAAACCAATAAATTGATCAAATGGAGTAAAGCAAACCCAGAGGCTGGGCTGCAGGTGTACCTGGCTTCGTGCAGTGCCTGCTGCCCACTCGCCCTCCCTCCCACGCAGGCACCACCCGTGCTTGGACTGTGTCCGGGAAGGAGGCTCACGCCAGCCCTGGCCCTCAGCAAGCTTACAGTTACTCTTCTGTGAACTTGCACTTACCCAAACTCATTTTACTGTTAGGAGTTGTATTTTTTTTTTTTTTTTTTTTATTCTCATCTAAGAATATTTTTCTGTTTATCTTCAGGTAGAGAGACAGGGAGAGAGAAAGGGACAGAGAGAGAAACATCGACAGGAGGGACACATCGACTGGCTGCCTCCTGCTCGACCCCAACCAGGGCCGGGGACAAACCGCAACCCAGGTACATGCCCTTGACCGGAATCGAACCTGGGACTCACTGGTCCATGGGCCAGTGCTCTACCGCTGAGCCAAACCGGCCAGAGCAGGAGTTGTATTTTAAAAGAAAACTTTTTTTTTTTTTTTTTTTTTATCCTCACCCAAGGACATTTTTGCATTTATCTTCAGAGAGAGCGGGAGGGAGTGAGGGGGGAAGAGAGAGAGAAACATCAAGATGTGTCTTCTCACATCAATGTTTCTCTCTTCTTCCCTCTCTCCCTCCCACTCTCTCTGAAGATAAATACAAAAATGTTCACGGGTGAGGATTTAAAAAAGTAAAAGAAAAGCTTTATAAAGCATAATCACCAACATTTTAGAATCTAACATAAATTATTGCTACATGTCCCACACGCTGGGTGACCCTAAGCCTGAAGGGAAAGCGAAACACATGGGTGTGATCTCTCCTCCCTCTCCCGGGGGCTGTGATCTCTCCTCCCTCTCCCGGCAGCTGTGATCTCTCCTCCCTCTCCTGGCGGCTGTGATCTCTCCTCCCTCTCCCGGGGGCTGTGATCTCTCCTCCCTCTCCCGGGGGCTGTGATCTCTCCTCCCTCTCCCGGGCACGGCTGCCCTGTACTCCCTTCCCACCTTTGGTTTCCTTGTTGTCTGGTACACTATTGAGAAAGAGAGGTGAGGTTGAGTAAGGCCTACCTTATTTGGATTCAAAGAACAAGTTATGTGTCATGTTTAGGAAGTAATTAAGTATCCAGAGCTTCATAGGTTTTAGTTATATTTTATTAAGTGGTCTGTTGCTTTTTTAAAAATACACATGGTATCTATATAGTATTCTTTTCTTTCAGAGTTTCTACATAATTTCAGGTTTACAAAATGTTACCCAAAAAGTACAAAGAATTTCCGCATCGTCTTCACCCAGCTTCCTCAAATGTCGATATTTTATCACATTTGCATAATTCCTCCTTCCCTTTCCCCATGTTAATTTCTTTTTTATCCATTTGAAAGGAAGTTGTACGCTTCATGTCCCTTTTTCTCTAAGTACTTCAATATATATTTCCTAAAAATAGACATTCTCTTACATAACCACAGTACTGGGGAGTGGAAATTTTCTCCGTGTCCCTCTTAGTTCCTCTGGCTGGTTGAGTAAAATGACAAGACAGTTTAAGGGGAGAAAATAATGAAACTTAACTACATACATATGTACATAGGGGGACTCCATGAAGACATGAAACTCTACCCAACAGGCAGGTCAAGCCGTTGTGGTGCACATTCCGTCTTGAGCTAAGGAGAAGGGGGGCTGTGGTTGGGGTTTCAAAGCGGGAAAGGCAGGTCGCCTGGAGATAAAGCACATGCGTGGCCCTTCTTTAACACGAGACCGATCAGTGGGCCTTGCCGTCCTCCCTGACACACTGGCTCATATAAACTGTACAGGCTGGGATGGAATCGCCCTTCCTGGAGCAGGTCCTCTGTCTGAATTAGTTTAGGCAGTTTGAGGGAAGGTCAGAGGTGTTGCCTGAGTCTTTTGTTTCTTAAAAATAACCAACTTAAAATCAGTATCCCAAAAGACATATTTTGGGGTGGCAAAGTTTGCTCCCCTCAGTTCCCAAAGGGTCTAACCATTCCCCCTAATGTTTAATTTTAAATAAGTTCTTGCATTTAGATAATATGGGAATAAACTTCAGTCCAGACCTATCAGAATTATTGCTAAATAGTAGAGCCCAGATTTATAAACTATTTTCGTGAGGGAAACAGAAATTTGATTTAATCTTCTAATCCAAAGAAAATACAAAAGATGTAGAGCACTTAAAACTGTAGTTGATATGTTTCATTTTAATTTTTAAGGACCTGTTTCTGGAAGATCTTTAGAAATGAGTCTTTTTTTTTTTTTTTTTTTTTTTTTTTTAGTGAGGCGCAGCCAGACGTTTTTTAGATACGCTTTTGTTCATCTCCTTTAAGATCTGTTTTTGCTTCATTGCACAAGCAGAAGGCTGAAACTAAACTTCCAGGTCAGGCTTTAAAATGATTTTATAATCAGAAAGCTTAAGGAAATCTACAATTATCAAAGTAAAAAAGAGTAATCGATCAGATGACCTTGAAGTAGATAAATACCTGGTCTGGCCAAAGCGAGAGCCAACAATGTTTATTTGGGATGTAAAAGAAGAGCTGTTCTGGCCCTGGCTGGTTTGGCTCAGCGGTTGGAGCGTTGGCCTGCGGTCCAGAGAGACCCGGGTTCGGTTCCCGCTAAGGGCACGTACCTCGGTTGCAGTTTGTCCCCGGCCCTGGTCGGTTGTGCGGGTGGCAGCCACTCGATGTGTCCCTTTCACGTCGATGTTTCTCTCTCTCTCTCTCTCTCTCTCTCTCTCCCTCCCACTCTCTCGGAACAAAAAAAAAAATGGAAAAATGTCCTCCGGTGAGGATTAAAAAAAAAAAAAAAGAGCTGTTCTGGAAACCCGCACTCGGGCAGCAAACCAGAGTGTTCCTATTAGGAGGAGGACAGGCTTTTGTGAGGAAGGAAAGGGGAACAATTACATCAGTAGAAGGAAGGAGTTTCTGTGGGTGTTAATAAGCTAAAGGAGGAATTTCTGTCGATGCAGAGGAGCTAACGGAGGGATGCTGATTCTGAAGACTGTCTTTCATTTTCGGCCGTGCAGTCCTAACGCCGGCTTCCCTCTCGTGCAGTCCACAGGCGGTGCCCAGTTCTAACCTCCCAGGGGTCTGGGGGGCGGCATGCGGCAGCTCCTCCGGGGGGCGGCCCCCACTCGGCCTGGAAGCGGCTGCGTCTGTCTGGTTCTCTCCTGCGATTACAAGTGACTATAGTTCCACCAGGTCGGTGACGCGGGTCAGATATCTGGGAAATTTCCTCCGTGTTTCAGTCTCCCAGGTCTTTTATGTAGCCCTTGATTTCAGAGTAGGCTAAAGTGAAGTGACATCAGAAATCTATGGCCGTTGGTGCATCTCCGGGATCACACACCACACAGTCTGCTCGTGCCCAGTACAAGGAAGAATGAGAAGTAACTGCTCGGGTGAGACAGTGCTTCCGGAGGTAGTGTATCAAGTTCCCCGGCAAAGAAGACAGTGGGAAATGCACCTATGGGTGTTTGAGCCTGGGGTAACTGGGATAGAGGGTCATAAGCCCATCACCCAAGAGCCATTTCTTAGAGGAATAGAGAAGGGAACCTATCCCACTGAGTAGACCTGATACTTTTCTTGGGCTGGGCTGGTTGAAACACCCATTAGGACTTACACAGCATATAGGACAGTGACAGTCCTCACCCACTATGAGTTTAGGGTGGTGGTAATTATCATAATAATTATAACAGCAGCTGGAACTCCTTGAGTCCTAATTATGTTCCAGGAACTGCTGCTGAGCACTGGACGTGAATTAATTCATTGATTGTTCACTCCCCCGTGATACAGGTACTGACCCTACCCCCAGGCACTCGGGTTATCTCAGCCAAGGCCTCCTGGGCAAGCTGGTTCCAGCATCCATGCCCCCTTTACCCTGACTCTGTAGCACCTCCCCACAGAGGGCAGAGTTTGGGAATTACAAAGACGTGTAAGATGCACGCAGTCCCTGACCACAGGGCGAGTTGGGATGAGGGTTCACCCTGAGATAAAACTTCACAACTGTCCCCTTGTCCCCAGCCTCCTGCCATGTCCTTAATGTGGGCCTCCTCATGTCCTGCCTACACGGTGCTGCTTGCTCACCACCCTGGCTCTGGCCTCCTCCCACTGGACCATCCTCTACACCCTGCACATTGATCAAATGCTCTGGTTTTAAATCCTCCCATCGTATCCAGGAAAAAGTCCCATCCTCCTTAGCCTTGGACCCCAAACTCAGATCGTGTCAAGATCACCTTTTAAACTTGATAAAATGCATGTCACTAGGCCCCAGTGCAGAGGGGCTTGGAACAGGCTTTCTGGGGGTGTGGGGAGCGTTCTCACATCCGCCTGGTTAGGGAACTGCTGTGCAGACAGGGCGAAGTGCAGAACTCCAGCACCGTGGCGTGCCTGCTGGGTTGTCTGCCCCCCGGACTGGAAACTGGGCACCTCAGCTTGGTCTAGCAAGTCCTTGGTGAGGAATCTCTAGTAGCTACTCATATAGCAAGAATCGGGGTGTCCTGTGCCTTGGGGATGAAACAGACCTGATGTTAGGCAACAGCAGTTTGAGGGAAAGGTGGCTGAATACAGACAAGTCCAGCCACAGAGGGTGGTGCTCCTGGTGGGAGAGAGCAGGTGCCAGTGAGCAGTCATGGGGAGTTCAATCTCCAGCCCCACCAGCCCCTCGCCTGTTATGAAACCAGCATGTAGCACAGGCCCGGGTTTATGGTGCTCTCACGAGCTTGTTAATGAACCAGACGTGTGGTTTCGTGCTTTCAAACCATCCCAAGGCCAGAGGCAGGAGAACAGGGTTCTAACAACTTGTTGCCATCTCTGATAACTTGTTTCCTGCTGTGGTTTGTTTGTTTGTTTGTTTGTTTGTTTAAACTTATTGAAGTTGATTTTAGAGGAAAGGAGTGAGAGACATCGATTTGTTGTTCCACTTATTGATGCATTCACTGGTTGCTGCTTGTATGTGCCCTGACCGCGGATGGAACCCACAACCTTGGCGTATCAGGACGACGCTCTAACCAACCGAGCCACCCATCCAGGGCTTCCCTGATGTTTTATTGCTCGCTCTGCAATCACCCAACAGAGTGAGGCTGTGCGGAGAGAGCAGCCCAGGCGCCCGGACCTGCCATCTGCCCCTTGGGGAGAGGAGAAGGCCCCCTGAACACAGATGGCCGGGCCAGGCAGCCCTCAGTGGGCTGGCCCCCCTCAGTGGGCTGGCCCACCTCAGTGGCCAGCGGAGCTGCTCAGTGGCCAGATCACTGGCAGCACCCAGAGTCCTCCTCTCTCACTCACCAGGACAGTCACACGGGGGCTGATTTGGTCCTTACAATGTATCTACTCCCTGCCCGTATCTTTAGGGTTCTTTTGAAATGGTTTTACTGGAGCAGTAGCAATGCTCGCTGAGTGACTTGTTCAGCCTTCACTGGTGTGGTTCAGTGGTTAGAGCATCGGCCTGCAGACCAAAAGGTTTTGGATTTGATCCCCAGCCCCGGTTGGGGCGTATGTGGAAGACAACTAATCACTGTCAGTCTCTGTCTGTCTCCCCTCCACCCTCCGTCCCTTCCCCTCTCTCTAAAAAAAATCAATGGAAAAAATATCCTTGAGTGAGGATTAAAAATAAATAAACCCAGCCGGTGTGGCTCAGTGGTTGAACATCGACCCGTGCACCAAGAGGTCTCCGGTTCAATTCCCATTCAGGGCACATGCCCAGGTTGTGGGCCCGATCCCCAGTGAGGGGCATGCAGGAGGCGGCCGGTCGATGTTCTCTCTCATCGATGTTTCTGTCTCCCTCTTCCTTCCTCTCTCTCTAAAATCAATAAAGAAAAAAAAAAGATTTTTAAATAATTTTTAAAATAAGATAAAGGTGATTTGTTCAGATTTTTTCCATGTCTGAAACCTCAGTCAACAGGGAGGAAGAACAGTGCGTGTTTGTTGAGCACCTGCAGCGTGCCAGGAGCTCTCACGGTGTTCTGTCATCCGTGCCCCACAGTACCCTGGAGGTCGCTGGGTTACCGGCTCCAGTCCACGGTGGGGAGCCTGAGGCCAAACCCCGACCCTTCCCAGCGTGCAGAGGGCGGCAGTGGGTCTGCACAGGCCTCGGTCCCCATCGGGTTCCCGCTGCTGGACACTGCCCTGCACACCACACAGATTACCCCGTTTAGTCCTCGTGACAGCTCCACAGTGCACTACTGATGGGGGGACTGAGGCTCCGAGAGCTGGACGCCTTGTCAGTGTGCGTGGCCGGAACGCACCGGGATCCTGCTCCTGGGTTCACTCGCCCGTCTTAACCCAAACCCTTCCTAAAACCACGGCCTGACACGGGCTGTTGTCGGGTTGGCTCAGGAGGGTCTTTACCGTGTGCACACTCCAGCACGTGAGTGCTTTGTCATCCTATTAAATAAGTGTTATATAAATGTAATATGTTTTTTCCCCAGACCGACCGTGGATTTGGAACATTCCTTATGTCAAAGCCCCAGATACACACGGGAACATGTGGGTCCCGTCCTGAGAGGGTGAAGCGCTGTGAGACTGAGTGTAAGACGGAGCCCCGAACACTGATGGCCTTGTTTGTGCTGTGTTCACGTCCCTTAAAGCTTCTCTGCACCCTGGGAACTCCGCAAGGGCCACTCTTTGAACACGGGTATTGGTTGTAGTTGTAGTGGTCATTGCTAACATTTCTCACTTAAAAAAATTGTATTTTCTTACTTCCCTTGTCTATGCTGTGCTTTGGAGGGAGAGCTGTTCAAGTCCACAGTGTGAAAAGAATATATAGATACAGAGTCCTCGTGGCGATGAAGCTCGTGATGGTGTCGGCTCTTCCGAGCCGAGGGCTGATGGGTGTGGGGCCCTGGCGGGAAGGTGCTCGTTCAGCCAGCTGTTTGCTTCCTCACACCCCCTCTGCTTCCTGAGTGTCTGGGGTTGCTGGACCGAGTGAGTCTGCAGGTTCCAGGCGCTGTCGCTGGCTGGTGTGTCTGCCCTTCAGGCCAGTGAGTCTGAGGCCCCGCGGCCCAGCAGCTTCAGGGGGCTCTCCGTCCTCCCAGCACCACGCGGCTGCCTCACTGCTTACAACGGGTCTCACGGGCCGGGCACCACCTGGACCCCAGGCTGGGAGTGCCTTCCTTCCCCACACATTTCCAGAGAAGACAGCTCACAGGGTCACACAAAGCACGCAAGTATTTTCCTTGGAAGAAATCCTATAAAGTGACCCAATTTGGTGTCTTCATTTCACAAGGGAGGAAACTGAGGCCCCAAAGGTCCAGGATGACCTCTGGGTCACCGGCTGGGGTCAGAGCTGAGCGTCTCCACGTTGTGTACATCTGTCCTCCGCACTCAGGGTCAGGTCTCCCAAGGCTTAGACCCTCTTGTTTGCTTCAGCATGAGGCTGACTCCAGTCTGTCACCAGCCTCCTTACCTACAGGTTTCATGGAGCCCAATGTCAGTTTGGAAAAAGTTTTTTAACTAGTTTTAAAAACTGTTTATCAGAGGCCCAGAATGTTCATCTTAGAACTGTGAAGGGTGGGTGGAGGTGCCGTGATGGAGGAGGGGTAGGGAGACCGGCTGTACCCCCACCCCCACCACCCCGTCAGACAAGCTCTGCCTCCCTGCTGTACAGACCGGGATGGTGTCTGAGGAGGTGGACCACTTCCCCCCAAGCAGTAGACAGATACTTTCATAGAGCATGTCAGCCTCTGTGAAATAACATCCATTTTTTAAAATATCCATATTTTTGTGTGTGTGTGTTTTTTATTTTTTTTAATCCTCACCTGAGGATGTTTTTGCATTCATCTTCAGATAGAGCGGGAAGGAGGTGGGGAGAGAGAGACACATCGACTGGTCGCCACCCACACGACCCCAACCAGGCCGGGGACAAACTGCAACTGAGGTACATGCCTGAACCTGGGACTCTCTAGTTTGAGGGCCGACGCTCTAACCGCTGAGCCAGACTGGCCAGGGCTAGAATATATTTTTATTGATTTTTTTCAGGGAGAGAGAGCTAGAAACATCTATGTGAGACACTGATCCACCGCCTCCTGCCCGCCCCTTACTGGAGATCGAGCCCACAACCCGGGCATGTGCCCTGACCAGGAATCGAACTGGGACTTCTCCGTTCATGGGGTGATGCTCCATCCACCAAGCCACACTGGCCAGGTCTTTGTTGTTAATCCTCACCTGAGGATATTTTTTCCATTGATTTTTTTTTTTATCGAGAGGGTGGGAGAGATGGAGGGAGAGAGGGAGGGGGAAGATAGAGAGAGAGAGAAACACCTGTTGGTTGCCTCCCACAGGGCCCACGACTGAACCTGACCGGGAATCAAACCCAGTACCCTTTGGTCCACAGGCTGATGTCGAACTCCTGAGCCACATCAGCCAGGGCTCTAAGATCCCTTCTTAAGCCCTGGCAGTTGTGGCTCAGCGGTTCAGAGCGTCGCCTGTGGACCAGAGAGTCCTGGGTTCAGTTCCCGCTAAGGGCACGTACCTTGGTTGCAGTTTGTCCCCAGCCCCACTTGGGGTCATGCAGATGGCAACCACTTGATGTGTCTCTCTCACATCGATGTTTCTCTCTCCTTCCCTCTCTCTCTCTCCTTCCCTCTCTCCCTCCTGCTCTATCTGAAGATGAATGCAAAAATGTCCTCAGGTGAGGATTTGAAAAAAAAAAAGATCCCTTCTTAAAATAGGATCTTAGATTTTATTTCAATGTGAAATTACAAGTCAACTTTCTAGGGAAACATCTTAATATTATTTGATCCATTTGTGAAACCAATTTTGGATGATCTGAATTTTTATTCAGATCTTAGGGCATTTGAATTTCTCCCTCATTACTGAAGGATTAGAGCTGTAATCCGTTCCTTGAGAATACTTGCTCCTGAGTGCTGAATACCTCAGAGGAAAGGTTAGCTAGACATTCTTCATTCACATTTCTCGAACATGATGATTATATTGATGGATGAATGATATTGTAATGACAAAGTCTGATGACAAAAATCTATGTGGGAACTCAGTGACTGGCAGAAATAAAATAGCTATGTATAGGATTGATTCTAAAATTCTATTGATGATGTGCTAACTAGGTGTCGTGCGTGGGTCAGATCCCGTTATGATAAAACCTTTGACAAGCTTTCCAAGTGTATCGCCCACTCACTTCAGGCAGTGTCCAAGCGAGTGCTACAGACAGAACCGCACAGCTGTCTCCTGCACTCTGTCAGCCCGGGAGCTCTGTCTCAGGTGGCCCTTCCTCCTTCACTGGGATCCACACGCACACGAGATGGGACAGATCACAGGGCTGTGTGCAGCCCTTGCTCCTGGGAGATGCCAGCGACACACATGACCAGGGTGGGACATGGCGTCTGCTGACCACTTCTGGGCCCAGTCTCTGTCCTCGGGCCCCTGCGCAATGATGTCAGCTGGCCAGGACTAAGCACTTGCCGTGTGCCAAGTGCCGTTCTGCATGTTTTGTGTGCACTAACTGGTTTAATCTCCATGATCGCCCAGTGAAGGGGATACTGTTATCCCACTTTACAGATGGAGAAACGAAGATACTGGTCCAAAGTCCCAGAGCTGGCAAGTAGCAGAGCTGGGATCTGAACCCGCACAGCAGGTGTGGCAGGTGTTGCCGAGCTCCAGCCAAGGAGGAGGCCTGTGTATGTAATATGTAACCGTAGCTACAGAGCTGGTGCCTTTCATCCACGGGAACAGCAAGTCGCAGTGGGCGTGACAGCAAACACACGGCCTATAAAATCAGCCACTGAACGTCGAGGTGACGTGTGGACGGGGCCCTGGCTCCTCCCAGCCAGACCTGGCAGTGGAGCGGCTCCTGTCGGGGGAGAACGCCGAGGGCCGAACGCTGTTCACGTTACGTGTGTGTGTGAAATGCTCTGAAACCTGGGGTTGCCATTGACCTGCTACATCAAAGGCACAGAGCAGAAGGGATCAGGCCACGTGTCGGGAGAGAAAGCAGCGTAGCCGTGCTGGAGAGGAGGGGGGCAAGAGACTGCCCAGGAAGTGGGGTTCTGGGATCTGGTGAAAACGGGCGCCTCGCACAGTGAGGAGGGGAGGCAAGCAAACGGCACCCACACTGCACGTTTGGGTAATCCCCGCATCTTCCTCCCTCCCGGCAAGTGCGTCTCGAAGCGGGATCCAGTCGCTGTGTGTAAGCCACACTTGAGCCCCTGGGCCTACCAGAAGCTCTGCTGAGCCTCCAGTCTGGCATGTTCATCAGTCTGAGGACTAGCTCGGTTTCTCCTGTTCCTTTTGCAGTAGGGCTTTCAGAGACTGGCTGCAGCTTAGTAAGAACCAGAAGGGCTCTGGACCGTCTTTCTAATCCACACGATAAAGAGCAGCTCAGAGGGGAAGGCAAAGGAGAGATTGCATCCATGCGGAATTTATCGTGGGTTATGACGTAGGTGACTATACGTCACCACACCATGGGGCAGGTGATACCTCATTTTATAAGAGGAAAAAATAAGGTCCAAGGTCATAACTAGTGTGTGTCCCTTTCTGGCCCCAAGGGACACAGGTGACGCCACTGTGTGTGCTCTGGGTGGTTCTTTGCTCACAGGTTCTTTAGAAATTAATGTTATGACAACTGAGTGCTAACTGATTTGGGGGCAGGGGTTCAGATAATTGACATTACTAAAATTTAAAAAGCCTCTGTAGCCCTGACCGGTTTGGCTCAGCGGTTAGAGCGTCGGCCTGCGGTCCGGAGAGACCCGGGTTCGGTTCCCGCCAAGGGCACGTATCTCGGTTGCAGTTTGTCCCTGGCCCTGGTTGGGTCGTGTGGGTGGCAACCACTCAATGTGTCCCTTCACATCGATGTTTCCCTCTCTCCCTCTCTCCCTCTCTCCCTCTCCTCCCCTTCTCTCCCTCTCTCCCTCTCCTCCCCTTCCCTCCCCTCCCTCCCTCCCTCCCTCCCTCCCTTCCTCTCTATCTGAACAAAAAATGAAAAAGTGTCCTCGGGTGAAGATAAAAAATAAAATAAATAAGCCTCTGTATAAATTTGTTAGTAGTAGTTTGTCAATGTTTTATGCAAGTACATTAGTCAGAATGCTTTCATCGTTGCAGAGACCAGATTAATCAGGCTCAAGCAATGAAAGACTTTAGCGTGAGCCTGAGGATCAGAATGTAACTGAATCTGTCTTCGAGTCTCAGCTCTGCTTTCCAGAACATGCACATCATTCTCAGGCACACTCTCCCCACCTGGAGGCTGAAATTCCCTACCTCCAGCCCATGGTCAGGTCCCGCCTTACTTCCAGTTGTCATTCCAGAGAAAAGAAAACACTTCTTCCCCAGAGCTGCAGCAAGTTCCCCGACGCACCTGATTAGCCAGGTGGGGTCACATGCTCCTCCCTGGTGCAAGCCCTCCAGATGCGGGAACTGCTGCAGGTGCAGAGTTCTCCAAAGACACGTGGAAGATGTCTGGTTCAATCCATCTTTAGGCGAACTGTTGGTGTGCCAGGGGAACCTTCTTATGCCCCATCCGTCAATCACGTGTACAAGTGAGCAGATTTTACTTTAAAGCAAAAGGAAACCAAGACGGGAATTTTAAAATCCAGGCTTCTCGAAAAGCTGGGTACATAAGTGAACCCTCATTGTCTCAGTGTTTCAGAACAGAGATTTTTCAAACTGTCATCACAGCCCTTCAGAGAACCACAGTATCGACTTAGGAGGTCATGACCAG